TCGTGGAACTCGCCAAGAAGCCGTGTACGCAAGTGAGGATCACTCGGTACGCAAAGAAGGTCCTTCCCCCGCGTGTGGACAAGCAAGTACCCCTCCTGGATCCGATAGTGAGAAGGAGCCAGATTAGGAGAGGACTCAGAGGAGCAATTCGCGTACTTGTCGCGAAACTCGGGGTCGGTTTGGTAGCCGCGGATAAAGCTGTTTCGTAGGTCATAGTCAATCTCGAAAGTCGAGTAGACCGCGGTACAATGATCCGGACGCCGTGAAAGAGCATCCGCAAAACGGTTCGACTTCCCGGGAATGTGATCGGGAAAGAARTCGAACTGGTCGATGAAAGCCATCCATCGAGCGATGGTGCTGTTGACGGTGTCTTGGGTCTTGTAGAAGACCAACCGATTGTTGTCCGTTACCCAGCGAAATTGGCTTCAACCAAGGAGGAAGTGCCGCCACCGCTTGAGCGCGTGGACGAAGGCGAGGAWCTCCTTCTTGCGTGCATYGTCAATGGAATGCACGAGTGACACTTTCTTGCTGAAGTACTCGACCGGGTGCCAGTCCACACCATCATGTTGCTCGAGGACTGCACCAATGCCATAGCCTGACGCATCCGTAGTGACACGTGTAGGTGCGAGCGGGTCGTATATCCGCAAGACCTCCGCAGACAATAGCGCGGCTTTGAGAGCGAAGAATGATCCTCGCGCCTCCTCTCCAAAGTCAAACAGCCGATCCTCGCACTGAAGCTTGTTCAAGTGGGCCGCGATCTTGGAGTAGCCTTTGATGAAGCGCTGATAATAGCCAGTAAGACCGAGGAACGAGCGGACATCCGTGACGTTCTGAGGCTTCGGCCACTCTTGGACGGCCTGAATCTTGTCCGATAGCGGACTGATGCCCTCCGGTGTGACAAAATGGCCCAAGTATTCCAGCTCTTGCCGGACAAATTCGCACTTGTCGCGGTTGGCCTTGTACTTGGCACGGCGGAGCGTCTCCAACACTCGTCGAAGATGTCCAAGATGATCCTCCAATGTCCGGCTGTAGACGAGAATATCGTCTAAGTAGACCAGCACGAACCGGTCCAACATTGCACGGAACTCATTGGTCATCGCCGCCTGGAACGTCGCCGGGGCGTTGGTGAGGCCAAAAGGCATGACCACCCACTCAAAATGCCCGTACCGCGTCTTGAATGCGGTTTTGTAGCGATCGTTCAGCTGAATCGAGATTTGATGATATCCTGATTTTAAATCCAGCTTGGAAAAATACTTCGCACCGCCCAGTCGCTCGAGAAGATCGTCGATGTGAGGAAGAGGCCCCGCATTCTTGACGGTTTGCGCGTTGAGCTTGCGGTAGTCGATACACAATCGTAGATCCTCGTTCTTGACTGGTGCTCCATATGGGGAGCTACTCGGGCGGATCCAGCCCTTGGCCAACAAATCATCGAGTTGTGCGCGGAGTACCTCAAACTCCTAGTGAGAGATCGGCCGACCCGGCACCACACCGGTAGGTGACTCGAAGATGTCGGCGAACTCGTCCAGCAACCCTACCACACGGGGGTCCGAAGGCAAGTCCGTGGGTGAAGAGTCGGCTACCGTGACGGTCCGTACGAAACATATGCCGATCTCCTCGGGCTGCTCGTAAGCACAAGTTTCCCGGAATGATTTGGCCGTCACCACTTGGCACCGGATTGAAGAGTGCGGTAGAGGAATAGTACACGCCACTTCTGCGCCGAAGGCGTCGCGAACGCTAAGAGTCCGCCGATGGAAGTTGACCGTGTGATCTGCACTCGCGAGCCAAGGCATTCCCAGAATGATGTCGAAGTCCGTGTCGAGAATATCGAATGTTACCGGTTCGCATGCATGAGGTGCGAAGTAGACCGGTACGGCCTCGATGTAACGGTCAAGAAGTTGTTGCGTCTTACCATCCGCCAACTTGATCGCCGTCTGGTTTGCCTTCCTCCGAACTTGTGCGCCAAGGCCAACTCTTTGCATAAAAGACTGACTTATGAAGTTGCGAGTCGCGCCGCTATCCAGCAAAGCGCTGCAGGACGCTTGCCCAACCTGGATGCGGACATACATGAGCGGTGCATTGTTGTTATCGTACCGCTGCGTGCAAAACTCGCGGGCCACCTTGGTAACGTACGCCAAGATGTCCCCCACCGCGACTTCGTCATCCGCCGGCGAAGTTGGTGGTGCATAGAAGGAAAGGTAAGTGTGGAGATGAGCGCATAGTGCTGCGCATTGCGGTCCCGGCAAACAGCCTGTGGTCGGGAGAGGAAGCCATGCAAAGTCCTCAGACGTGAGCGGGTCCAAAACCTCTATCTTGAACTCGCGCGCTGAATCCCGTGATGAACCACTTGAAGACGATATGTTGTTGTTGCCGGACGGAGAAGAAACCGCACACACTCCTTGTCCTTGAGCTTGAGTACCCAGCGTTGGAACGAGCCGGGCAGCGTAGTCCTCAAAGGAAAATAGAAGCGGAGGACTGTCGACTTCCGCGTGCGCCTCGGAATGAAGGCTGGTCACTCGCGAAGAAACCAGTTCCGAAGGCGTCGAGAGTGTCTTCACGTCACTCTCGGCGGTGCTCAGTTTCCCTAATTGCCCTTGCCTTTCAATGGGCAAACCTGCGTCTGATGAAGATCGTTGTTGCACCAAAGGCAATAGTGGAATCTCTGGCGCGCCTTGTATGCGGACTCGGAGATGCCATACGGGGTCCATGGGCCTGTCTGAGCTGCTGCACCGGGCCCGGGGCTAGAAACGGTGTGTGTCTTCGGCTTGCCGCGCCCTCGGCCTCTGCCGGCGCGGCCACCTTCCCGGGCGGCTGCGAATCTGTCTCCTTCACTGGCAGACGCAGCCTCGCTGGTTTGGTCTAACGGCGCTGCCGCTGCGACCACGGCCACTCTTGGCCGATGCTGGTCCCTGCTCGGGCCTGACGCAGATGAACGGAGGTTCTTGGCCTCCTTGTTCGTGACGATGATCTGCGCAGCCTTGTCAAATAATTCCGCCGTCGTCGTCAAGTGTCCTCGACATGCGTCAGGGCATTGCTCAATGTCGGACATGAACTTGAGATGAAGTAGTGGCGGATGGCCTTGAAGCTCATCTGGATGTCTGGGACTGACGTCAAGCATTGGTACTCGGCGATCCAGTCCGACCTCGGCAGCGTGCCTTGCTCGAAGACCATGAGCTTGTCCATGGCTTTGATCTCTGGCGGCTCCACCTGGAACCGCATGTGCCACGCCGCCTTCAGATCATCCCAGGTGATCATGGTGTGCAAGTCCGCTGCTACCACTCCGTACTTGGACAACAAGTTCTCCAACCACGCCTGAGCGAGAGTACAAGTAGGCGTGGTGCTTGTTTTCCTTGACGTTGTGGAGCTGCAGCGTGAGCTCAAACTTGCGAAACCATGGAATTGGATCTGTCTTGATTGAGTCGTGGAAAATCTCCTGCCCATCGAACTTAGGAGCTGTCTCGCGCGGCTCCGGACTCGAGGTGGTGGCGGTAGTGCAGATCCGCTGCTGCAATTGTTGCGTCGCGGTCTGCTGTAACTGTGCGCCGTCCTGGAGGGAGTCGACGTGCGTGTCCAATGCGGTGAGGCGGTCGGCAGTAAGAGCCTGCATCGGCGGCCGCGACTGGTCGCTGCTCCACCCGCTGAAGGCGGTCTTGGAGCTGAGCTACCGAGTTGTCGAGACCAAGGATCTCCGCCTGCTGTGTAATGCAGGTTGCCAGGAGATCCGTGAGATGCGAGAGGAGAAGCGCTATCTTGTTTGCGCTGTCCTCCAACTGGCTGTTCTCGGCCTCGCTTCGCCATTCTGCTGCCATGGTAAGTAACGCCCGCTCTCCGGTGAATATCTTCTCACGACGCTGTGTTCTTTCTTCATCGGCAGCCCTTGCTGCTGCCTCATCGTGCTGGCGCTGTTGTTGCACGACAAGCAGACGTGCCTGTTCGGCATCCTCTGCCCTTTTCTTGGCTGCTGAGGCAGCGTCATCTGCCCGCTTCTTTGTCTTAGTACTCCAGGCTAACATACGGGCCTGATAGGCCTTGTCTGTTTCCCCGGCCTTCTGGTCCATGACTGCTGTCTGTGAACGAAACAGCATAGACCAGACCGGTGCCTGCTGATGTGGTATCCCTTGCTGCTGACGTGGCAATGCTGACGTGTCCTGCTGACGTAGCCTGATGACGTGGTCTGCTGACGTACTTACGTAGCCTGCTGACGGGGTCTGCTGACGTACTTACGTAGCCTGCTGACGTGTCCTGCTGACGTGGTCTGCTGACGTGGCCTGCTGACGTGGCAACTTACCAATGCCGCCGCCGGGGGTACCCGGATACAAACAGAAACGGCAAGGCGAGAGATGGCAACAACATAGGTGGGGAGGGGTGGGTGGGATAATCGCCCAACTCACACTTAGATAAGGAGCCACTAATCAAACCACAAAAGTTTGAACTTTGCAAATTTTTTTCGAGAAAACTAAAAAAAATAAAAAATACCGATTTTTGCAAGTTCAGTAGGTCTCCCGATCTCCTTGCAGTGCGAAATGATCTCTGATAGCGAAAAAAAAATAAATTGACTTTAGACTGCAACCGATTTATAGAACCAACTGACAGAATCCAAGAACTGTGAAAAAAGTCCGAACAGAAATGACAATTATTCGGATTTATTCCGATGGGAATATTCGCAGTTTGAAAAAAATAATACGTGCAGGAGGTATTTCCCGTACCGTTTTCAGAAAAACGAATTTCAGAAAAGAAGATATTCCGAAGTTCTAAGTACGGGAAAACGGAACAGAAAATCGAAATTTTCAAAAAGAAATATATTTCGGATTTTTAACAACGAAATTTCGAATTTTCAGAAGAAGAACGAAAATAGGAATTTCAGATGTTGCGATATAGCGATTTTCCACAGCAGAAAAGCGAGAAAATAAAATCCGAGAAAAGAAAAAAATTTCGAATTTTTTTTTTTAGTAAGGTCAAGATCGTGATTTTGGGGTCTAACTAGTATGTCCTAATCAACAGAAAAGACTAACTAGCTTTTTGATCCCCACACACGTGTCAGATCAGATAGTCCTGATTCACGTGCCAAAAGCTCCGATACCAACTGTTACATGCACAGATATGCGATGTACGTCATGAACCGAGAATCTGCAAGGTGATGAAAAGGACTGAATAGACAATGCGGTACGAGTAGAATCTCCACAAGCAATGTACATTCTCATTCATACATAAAGATGCTGAAGAGCGCAGGGAAGACTTTGATACAAGACTGACCTGACAGGACTGACCTCATTCACGTAGTTCAGAGTAACGAAGCAGAATGCTAAAGTACCTCTAACTAGCCCAATCAATGTTCGGAACTCAGACAATACATGCATTGTATCCATCACGAAGTGTGAAGGAGCCTGGCGCTGCATACAGGAAGATAACGCCAGGTCCAGACATACACAGACGAAGAGATAAGGAACAGACGAAAGGAGGGAAGAAGATGGGAATGTCGTTAACACCAAGTCTTGGTCACCAATCCCAAATAGTCCCTCGTTGCCATGTCTGAACCTTCGAAAGTCGAGTTTGGATCCAATGTCACCAAGCTCTGTATCTCTTCTCTCATAGTCTGCAGATGCAGTGAAGTTAGAAGTGAGAGGGAGAGAAGAGATGGTGGACTGAGAAGAAGAAGAAGAAGAACTCTCTCTCTCTCTCTCTGTTACAAACCAAGTACTAACCTGTGATGTTGGCGCTGTGCTGCAGGTACCTCGAAGACGAAGCTGGAGCAATGGCGCTGCAGGTAGGTACCTCTGGCCTCCGCCCAAGCTCTCTCTCTCTCTCTGTAATACTACCTAGCTATGGCGCCCAGCGCTGGAGACTACAGCTACCTACTGCGCCCAGCGCTGAAGACTACGAGCTAACGCTACTACTACTACAACGCAGCGCTCCCTCYAGAGTGCTGCACCCGAATCCTGAAGACTACAACTACCAACTGCCTTCCTCGGAAGTGCCTGGGAAGTCCTATGTACTACCTCGGCCTGCCTCCTGACTACTGGAGGGCAGTTAGGCCGAGGAGGCAGCTCTTGCCAATGCCGAAATGTGCCTGGGGCTGGCGTGCAGCAGCCTGCTTGAGGCTGGCGTGGGAAACAGACTATTAATAGTCTGTTTCCGAAACCCTGGTTCGGTGCCTGAGTTTCAGGGCCGGTCGTTCTGATGAACGACCGAAAATGGCCCTTCGTTTCAGGCTAAAAAGGCTGTTGCCATTTGTAGTCTGAAACGACCAGGGATAGGCCCTGGACTTCAGGCTTTTGGCCTGAACCGACAGGGGGCCTGTAAGCCCTGGATTTCACTCA